TGTTGATCTCTTATTTGCCAAATCTAATGGCCTCTTCTCAAGCCTCAGCCTTTTTGACCTCTCTTTGACGTTGTTACTCACCCTCTTGTCCTTGATACTCTTCTTTCTAGGTTTTTGTGACAGTCCTCTCTCCAGGTTCTTCTACCTGTCCAATTGATCCTTCTAGGATTCCTCTGCTCGATCTTCGTCTAGGTCATGCCTGCTAATCATAGGTGTCCTTCAGGGCTCTGAATTGAGTGCTCTTCTCTTCTCCCTCCATGCTGTTTTACTGGGCGATCTCATCAGTTCTCAAGGATTCAGTTATCATCTCTGTGCTAATGATTCTCCATCCTGCCCTAGCCTTTTCCTGACCTCCCTCTTAGATCTCCAGTTGACTAGAATATCTCAGATCTGATTTCTGTATACACCTTAAATTCATCACGTCAAAAACAGAATGTGTTATCTTCCCCTCCATTCTCTCCCCCTTCTGAATTTTCCTATTATTGTGAAAGTTTTACTGCCCTCCGAGTCACTCAAGCTTGCCACCTACATGTCGAATCTTCAACTCCTCACTCTCACCACCCCTTCCCCCCACACCCCCATTTCCAATCTGTTATAAAGTCCTGTCAATTTTATGTCTATGACATCTCTCTTTTTTTGTCCCCTTTGCTCCTGACGCTGCTGCCACCCTGGTTAGGAGCACATCCCCTAACACCTGGACTGAAGCAGTAGCCCGCTGGTTGGTCTCCACATCTCAGCTCTCCCCCAACACCAGTCCATCCTCTACTCTGCTGCCAGAGTGATCTTCCTAAAGTGCAGGTCTGACCATGTCATTCCCCCCCGCCACACACACACACACACACACACACACACACACACACACACATATACTCAATAAACTTCAGTGACTGTCTTGTCTACATGTCAGCAGGCATTTATAAAGCACCTGGCACGTGCCAGGTACTGTGCTATTAGGTGGACAGCACGCAAACAACCATGTACATACAAGATGTACAGATGGTAAGTTGGAGGTAGTCTTACAGGGAGCGCACTGGATGGGGGTGGAGAAGGAGGTAGCCTGGGAAAGACCTTGTGCACAAAGTAGGACTTCAGCTGAGTCTTGAAGAAAGCCAGGAAAACTAAGAAGCAGAAGCAAGGACTAGACCAGATAACCTTGCTAGTGGTTCAGCATCGGTGTGACAGGATGTCTCCCGTGGAGCACCCTGGGGATTGGTGCTTGGCCCTATGCTGTTTAATAGTGTTATCCGTGATTCGGTTAAAAGCATAGATGCCATGCGTGAGGCTCCCCAGGCAAGCGCAGGAGGTGGCATGGGTATATCGTGGGATGTTGGCCAGATTTACAGGAACCAAGTAGAAAAGGGACGTGAGGGGCATCAACCATTGAGCACCCCAAACTTCAAGCCTCCCTTCCAATCTCCTTATCAGAGGCAGTTCTGGTCCATCGTCACCTCGGTTCTGAGGTCCTCCCACCTTCTGGGCAGAAAGTCACAGAGGAGAACTCCCTGGTGAGAAGCCTCACCCTTATTCATGATGTTGACCCAGTATGGTTCTCAAGTCTTCATTTCCACAGGTTAGGCTGTATCTAGCAACAGACCTCTCTGGGCTTTGAATTTCCACAGGTTTTGAAACTGGTTAAGTTGTTCCTATTGGTTCGTGCAAATGAGTGACTGGTGAAAAGGTACAGGGACAGTCTGTGTCAACCTGAAAAAAGATATCTCTTGGACTTGCCTCAGCTATCTGTGCTGTTTAACATTTTTGTCAGCATTTGGCAATTCTCAGAACATGATGATCCAAGACAGTTGTGAAGATTTAGGGCGAAAAACACTCTCCATCTCCAGAGAAAAAATCTGAATGCAGATCGAGCAGACTTTTTCTTTACTTTCTTTCTTTTTCTTGGTTATGTTTGTTTGTTTTTGTTTGGGGGGGGGGGGTTTGGACCGGGTTTTCTTTCACAACATGACTAATGTGCAGGTATATTTTACATAACGGCACATGTATGACCTATATCACCTTGCTTGCTTTCTCAGTGGGGAGGATGGGAAAGAATTTGGAACTCATAAATTTTAAATGAATGCTAAAAATTGTTTTTACACATAATTGGGGGGAAAATATTAAGTTAAACATTTTGGTCAGTGACTTGTATAAAGGCCTAGATAACATGCTTGTCAGATTAATAGATGGCACAAAGCTGATAGGTAACTAACATATAGATAGATGATAGTGTTGAGATCAGAAAAAAAAAACTCGACAAGCTATTAAGATGAAATTCAGTAGGAATAAATTTAAAGGCTTGCACTTCGGCTAACAAAGTAAAGTTCATAAATGTGAGATGAAAGAGGCATGGCTAGACAGCCTTCCCCTGTGCTCTGTAGACCTGCCTTGTGGGTCTGTTTGATCTCCAAGGCACATCCAGCCCCGCAGCTTGCTGGACCTCACACGAGAGCTAGAGAGCCTTGCTTAGCATCTTAGAGTGAGCAGTAACAACAGAGATCATTTAGCCTAACCCCTGGCCAAAGCGTAAGTGTTTTCAGTTAGAATCACCCTTTAAGACTGCCCGTGATAGGGAACTTTCAAGATGGCCTGTTATATTTTTACCATTTTTGCTTTATTCAGATAACCTTGGTTATTCTGTAACAAATCCTGACTTCTGTTTTCATTTACGTAACAGTTTATGATGTTCAGAAAACTCTAAATGGGAACTTTTAAAAAATCATATTTGAGTATTATTAAATTCTAGATCTCTGAACTAGGTGGAGCCATAGCCGGCCTAATGAATGTAGTGATGGGCTACCCTCTCTAGATCTTTTCCCGCAGTAGGAGGCACTGTGTGCACCTAAGGGCCCAGATGGAGGTATGAAGTTTTGGTTTGGTTTTGGTTTTTTACCCCTATCATTTCTACAGTGTAGGGAGCTTCCATTGAGAAGTTTCTTCTACCAGTGCAAATTAACATCTTTGCAATTGAATATGCTCATTGTTAATCATACAGTAATAATCATGATGCCATTTTACTTATCCTCCATCTGTTGCAAAGGAAAGCTTGTGCTTCCTTAGAACAGCATGTTTTTTGAGAGGCAGCAAGATGGAGTTGGGATTACAGGGCTGGAATTCCTGCCTCCTGCACTTACGAATTGTGTGACTGTTGACAGGGCACCTAACTTATTAAAGCCCCTGTTTCCTTGTCTGTAAAATAAGGTAAACAACACTATTAGTACCTGATTCACAAAGTTCTGGAGAATCTCAAATGAGATAATATATGTGAAGTGCTTTGCGAACCATAAAGCACTGAATAAATGTTAGTTGAGTAGTTGCTTTTAAATCACAGCTCTGTTTGTATCACTGTTTGGATTCCAGAATCCTATCTGATAGCTTTTGCTAACTCCACCATAGTCAGGATACTCCCTTGAAAAGAGCAGCTCTCATCTTCTTTCCCTCACAAGAGATTGGTTTTGATAAGTTGATGATAATATGAATGTTTGATTGACCGTGCCCTCCTTAGGCAAAAACATTTCCCTCATTTGGTGATAGTTCCTCTCAGTCAATCAGCAAGCGTTTATTCGCACTAGGCGTTGCGCTGGTGATGAAAAGAAAGGCAGACCATGGCCCACGCTTTCATGGAGCTCACATGCTACCGGGGGAGATCATGTGCACGTGGGTGTCGTACACATTGTAAGTGGAAGGTAAATCTAGAGGAGGTAGAGGCCAGGAGGGCTTACTTTTTTTTTTTAAAGGCAGTTGGGGTTAAGTGACTTGCCCAGGGTCACACAGCTAGTACGTGTCAAGTGTTTGGTCTGAGACCAGATTTGAACTCAGGTACCCCTGACTTCGGGGCCGGTGCTCTATCCACTGCGCCACCTAGAGGTCTTACTTTTCAAAGCCAGATCGGTCAGGGTTAGGCTCAGGCAAAACTGAATTGATTTTTAGAGATCGTTAGGTGAGGGAAGAGCATGTGTCATTGGGCATTCATCCCTTGATAGTTGGTGTTCAGTTGGACAACAGCCGTGGTTGGTGTGTACGTGTTGGCACTGCTTATCCGCCGCCGACAGGAAATAACCTCCGGATTGTTCTTCTGGTAGCAGTGGCAGGTGTGGGGTGGTGTGTGCAGGCTGTGCCCACCTTGCCTTTGTTGGGCCAGCCAATGACACACATCAGAACGAAGGCCCTCCTGGTGTGGACAGCACGCTGTGGAGTCTGTGGATCTGATGACCTCTCCAGCCCCTTCCAGCTCTCAGTCTCTGATCCCGTAAACTGACATTCATCACTGTCCTGTTAGTGTCGCTTGTGGATATGGCCCATCCTGAGCGTACATGAGAAGGAGGGGACAGGCCGAAAGGCGTTCACCGCCTTGGTCTAGCCTGCAGCTCTGTGCCAAGCATGAGCAGTTGAGAGTGTTCTTTCTCCTTCTAGACACAGACAGACTTCCCAGAGACACTTTGGAGCACTTTCCACAGACTCATCGCGTTGGTTCTTGAGGTTCAAGTTAGAGGATCACTTCTCCCTTTGAGAAGGGGGGGCAGACTGTGGTCTCGTTGATGTCTGGAATTCCAGGGGAGGGAACTCCCTCTGCTGATGCACATGGGTTGGTACTTGCTCTACAACTTAGGGCCTGAAAAAAAGTGGCCAGTGGTGCCCAAAAGGTCTTAGAACCAGTGCGCATCAGACTCAGTCTTCCCCACTGCATTGTGGGCTTTCTCAATTACTTAGAAATCTGTCAGGAAAAAAAAAGAAGAATTTAATTCTTTGACTAATTCGGTTACTTGATCTTTCTCATGACTCTCTGCAAAAAGATATGAAAACATCTGTACTAAGAGTTGTTTGGAAACAGCAAGTGTCCCTTCTTCTGGGTGGTGGTCTGGCAGACTGGATTTGTAAGATTGCAGGCGATGATTCGCAAGTGACAGGAGCTCTGTTACCCTCTGAAATAAGGTCACTGTGGTTCACATCCCTTGGGAATTGGGAAAACCTGTTTTAAGAGTCTGCTTTGCTTTGCTGTCATCAAACAGAAGGAAGAAGGAAAGGTTCAGGGGCAGCTCAATAAGTCGGACTCCGCCCAGTACGTGAGGGAGCTGGAAGAGCAGATAGCAGAGCTGCATCACGAGGTGAGTGTGCGCGGGGGAGGGGGGGGGAACAGCCCCCATCATCTGCTCCTCTTTGTCATCCCAGCCTCCATGCCTTAAGGCCATGTTCATTCTTACTGATCGTAGTTTTTATGACTTTGAGGAAAAAGACCTGATGTGCATCATTCATCATGAACCAAACTAGTATTTTTAAAGATGATCTTCGTGTTTTAATCTACTTAAGCCCTAAATTGAGAATTTATGTTTTCTCAAATCTCTTAATCTTTCAGGAAGGAACTTAACAACATTTAAAGTTATCTTATTTAAAATTTTCATATTAAGTAGTTTTTGTTATATTTAGAAAATAATCTATTTTCTTACATGCAGATTCACAAGTCATTGCAATGAGACTATAACGTCCTTATGCCTGTAGAATAGATGTGTGGTGGGTGTTTGCCGTTGGGGGCAGAGGGAAGTCTTTCTACCTCCGTCACCTCTCTCCCCTTATACTGGTATTACTGAGATTGCAAAAAAGGATACTTGCTTAATATCAGTTAACAGATTTCTTAGTATGTGAACACTTTTAAACTGACACCACCTTGAATCTGTGAAATTCTCAGGAAATTTTCAAGTGTCTTCACTGTTGCTGTGGTATTAACTTAGACTATTTGGATTTTCTTTTCATTAAAATTCAGCATGTGAGGTTTTTGCCTCTACCATGTAATTTTTGGTGTTATAGTTTTGTTCACTTTTTGGTTAGCAGGATATAGGTCAGTCATACTATTTTGTGTCTTTTAAGATAGGTTTTTGTCTTTATCTAATATTCCTTATTTGATTGTATCATGTACTTTATATGGAGTAAGCATTTTGTTATTTTAAAATTACAGTAGAGAAAATAAAGTAATATCAGCTTACTATTACAGGTTTTGAATTTACAGATGCTAAATAAAGCTCATTTGGCCCAAAAGTGAGGTTGAACTCTTAGGAACAAAAGCTTTCGCATCAGTTTGCAACCCACTTCATTTCCATTTAAAGGCTGAGAGACCTGCGCCCTTCCATTTTACAGGAAAGGTAAACAATCTTGGAGTTTTCTTGGATGGATTAAAGAGTAAATTCCAAAGGTAGAATCTCTTAAATTTGGAATCTTAGTAGAAAATGCTTATTGTGAGAGTTCTGTCCGGAGCCACCGCCTGCTGTCCAGGCAGCAGGCTCGCGTGGCCAGAGGATCACTGGCTCTGGAGCGCAGAGACACGGCTGACATCCTGGCTGTCACTAAGCCTCAGGCTCCTTCTGTGTAAAATGGGCAGAGTGAGCCTTATTCTGTGTCTCTCTCTCTCAGATCTTGGTGTGTATCAGATGAGATAAAGTACGTCTGAAAGTGCCCAGCCGGGTCAAGTGTTCCCTCAGTGTGAACTGATGCAGGGAGCTTGGACCCTTTGCTGCTTTTCCTCTGTACCGCAGCTTTCTTTGGGACCTTTCTTTGCTTCCAAATGTGTCCCTCAGAAAGAAAAGCTGGAATTGAAATTAGTCAGCATTACCGGTTGGTTCAGTAGCAGTGAGAGTTGAAACAACTTATTTTTAAATATTCTCTGAATTTTAGAATAATTGGAACAAGATAATTCTTTGAAGAGCTATGTAGTTTTTGTAGAAAACTATGAAATTGTATGTGAGTCGATCTAATTAGCAACCACGCCTGTTTTTAATACTGTAAAATCAGATTTGTTAAGCACATAAATCTTGGAGCTTTGGGTCTGAAGAGGAAGAGAAAAGCATGTGATTATTGGATTACCACACGTGAGATTTGAGGGACCCAGGATCCTGTATGTAAGAAATAACAGAACCCAGAGCCCTTCATTGGGCACTTAGAACCAGTTTCTGAGTTAGGCATTCTGTCACACTCCTGTCACGCCGCATCCTGGGGAACTGCAGCTTGCTGAGTACTTCTAACAGTAAAGCTGATGGGGTGTTCACAGAGGCCCCCTCAGTATTCTGGGGGGTGAGAGGCAGCATGCTCCCCGAGGAGGCGAATCAGCCGAGGCATCAAACGAGCGTGCCAGTCTGCGGGCGTCCAGCCCCACTGGGGCAGCTGTACCCTGAGCCTGAGCTCCCTCCGCCAAAGAATAAGGGCCTGTTTTTATCCAGTGGCCGCAACTAAATGTTTAAGAACATGGTTAATTCCTTTCCTCTGGTTTGAAGACTGCCTTGATATCAGCAAACAGTAATAGTGGGAATATACTGGAAGAGCTTGAGACTTGGTCATCTTTTCTCTTACGTTCTGTATGACTCCCGTAATGAGCAACTTCATTACTTTAAGAGGCAACTTATTCTCTTTTTTGATAGCCATTGGAATCTGTAAGGCAACATCAATCATACCAAAGATATATAAGCCTGCTCGTTAGAATAATATTTATAGCTGAGAAGATCCAGGCATGAGGTATGACTATAAAATTTTGAGGTGGGCGGTCCTGTAGTTTGTGGAAACAGTTTCAGGGTATCTTGTATACAGCCACAAAAAAGTTAGTGAGCCAGATAGCAGGACAGCTATACAGAGGAGGAGCAGCCTGTAATGTGCTAATTGTGCGCATCGGAGTTAGAAAAAGAGATTGAGAGAGCAGCACGAGCTAGCCGTCAGAGGACGAGGCGGACTTTGAGCTGCGTATGGGGCAAGTCCTGAATTGGCAAAGAAGCAGAGCGGGGCAGCACCACGAAGGAAGAGCTAGAAGAGTAAGACCTCACTAAGAGGGGGGAAGAGTGGTAACAAAGAAAAGAGTGTTTCAGAAAAGTAAACCTTGGAAGCAAGAGGAGATGGTATGTGCCATGTTTCATGCCCTGAGGGTAGGGACTACCCTTTTTCTTTTTACTTCCCAGCACAGGGTCTTGCATACAGGAGGCACTTAATATATATTTCTTTAATTAAGTTGATTGCTGAAATTAAATTAAAAGAAGTGAAAATTGGAATAACTCCTTGTTTTCATACTTCAATGAATAAATGAAAAGTAATTCATCAAATATTCTAAACACTAGACTTACAAATACAAAAGCAAGACAGGCTCTCCCCTCGAGGAACTAACAACACATATAAGGACTAAGAATGTTTGGGTCACACAGAGATGGTGAGTGGACTAGTAAGGCAGTGGTTCTTCAATTTGATTACCAAAGGAAGAGGGGAACAGGGAGGGAGAGCCAGTGAGAGGAAAAATTTCCAGTTTCATCAGTGTGTCTGCCTCATCCACCAACAGGGTAGATGTTTGCAACTTTGGAGGTGGTCTCTGATATTGCAGTGTCCAAAAAACTCGTACCCCTGTGGCCCACCCTGGGGATGAAACTGTAAATGAGCCATTCAGTACATCAAAAGGCCCCACCCTCAAAGCCTTTCTACCTTGGTAGTACCCTCTAGCCCTTTTTCTCCACTGACAGCCTTGAAGAGCTCAGAGTCACCTCTGTCTGTGCCATTGTAAAGTGGTGAGGTTCAGAGTTGGAGGAATTCCATATGTACTTAAAATAGGAAAATTCTCATTTTTTGCTGTCAAGCAGAGCTTCCCCATAGAGATATAATTTTAATAAAGGAAATTGAAATACACAGAATACAGTTCTACCTCCTTTTTTTTTTAACCATTTAGAATAAAAACCTGCTTCCAGTAAATTATTTCTGTTACATTTGGCTAAACCTAGAGCCTTGTGTCAACAACATAATAACTATGCATTATTTTTTATAGTTTTTCAAAAACATTTCAAATCCTGTAACAGTGGATGATTATTTTCTTAAATCCAAAGTATTCTTTACTGGGATTTTTAAAAGCTATTTTATAGTTCATAGTACATAGTAATCACTTAATAAATTCTTATTGATTGATTTTTCTGATCAGATGTTAATGTTTATATAAGTTTCAAGTTTTTCAGTATTTAAAATAGTAAAAATGTCAAGCCCCAACACCACCACCACCCCTAACCCAAAGTGTTGATTCCCATGGATTTATGACTAAAATCACTACTTCCTGCATCAATGAAATGTTACAAGCTACTTCTTAGGGGGAAAAAATGCATCATTTGAAGGGAATGTGTGAGTTCTGAGGAAAATTCATTTCACGATGGAAAAAGATAATAGTCTTTTCTAATCTCTTTGGTTTTATATTTGCACTTACTACCAGAATTGGTGAGAGCCTTTGAACGTCAACTTGGAAAGTGTGTTGAAATATATTGTCAATGTAAGTGTTCTCTTTCTCAGTGTGACCTGCTAGTGGCCTCTATGTTTTATCTGCACTTCTCCAAATACTGAAGGAAACGTTGAGACAAACTTGCAAGTTCATCTTCCTGGAGATAGGACCTTGCTGTGCATGTCATACTGACCACAGCCACTCACTTTGTGCATGTATGACATGTCCATGAAGATAAAACACCTAAACCCCTGTGGTGTACCTTAAAAGTTACTGTGATGCTTTGATTACCCCCACAGAGATTTGAATCCAAATTAAAATTCTTGGCTGAAACTTGGCACAAAGTATCAGGTTACTTAAGTTAGATTTATCAACATACCAATATTATTCCTGGGAAAAGATTTTAGAAGATGAGTTGCTAACTTTTGTTCTAGGTATAGGCTAACGTTTCCATTCTAGTATAGCCATATTATACCTGACATAGACCAAGAGTTCAGAGAGGCAGTGTGGACTAGTGATAGAGAGAAGCCAAGGGAAACCAGCCTGACTGGAATCTTGCCGCTGACATGTCCTGGCTTTGTGACTCTGGACAAATCACTCACCTTCTCAGGCAACTAAAACTCTAAATTACATCAAAGATGCCAACCTACACTGGCAGAGGATTTCCTCACTGGGAGCTTCCTTTTCCAGTAATCACAGGTCCAGTTCTTAATCCAGTACCAAAAATTAAATTATTTCCAAATGTATATATATATATATATATATATATATATATATATATATATATATATATACACACAACACACACACACACACACACACACACACACATTAAAGTGGAAATAAATGAACCTGCATGTTTTAATGTTTAGCATTCCCTTAGAAGAG